GTTGAAGATCCTCCACTTCTTCTATTTGTGGTTTCACAAAGCCACAGCAATCGCGTAACGCGTCATCAGCACAAGTATCCCGTCCCCATGGATGAATAAGTGACATCAAAATTTGAAGCAACTGAAATTGAGAAGCCACGTCCACGTGAGTGCATGAAGTCTCCGACATTTCTTTCTGCAAAAAAACGAGTTATGGGCAGAGATGAAAATTTCACGAAAGAGGAAGGGGCATAAGAGGACGACGGTAATCTACCGACCAATTGTTTAAAGTAAACCGCATGCCTCCCGGTCTTATTCCTTCGGGTTTACACTGGATATGGGGTGTGTGGATGGAGCTGTGGGTGGTGCAGCGCAAGCCATCCATGGTCCCTCTGTAGGCGCAGGCGTCCTGTGGCTTGCCAGAGTGACAGGCAAATCCGAAACCGGATGCGCCAACCAATGGAAGATGACGCAAGGAGCATAATAGATACTACAGTGAAGCGCATCACAAAGATAGAAAGGGATGAAATAACAGAGCTAAGGAGAGTGACAAAATAGGCATAAAGAGGTAACGAAAGTAAGGGATACTAAAAAGTAGGGGGATTTTGATGAACTTTCGAACCCATCACAGCAGCTGACGGGGTCAAGAAAATTTTAACGAAATCCCGCTACTCATTAGTAGTTGAAAAATTGCTCCAATGGCATTTAAATACCGTGCGCACGCAGCTGCTGTTGCAGGTAGTAGTGACCACGTAAGGGCCAGTCAACGACCACAGCATAGTAGCAGACCATGTATTTGAGCAATGTAGCTAAATTGGTGTTAACGAAGCTGTTTAGATCCTACTCTTAACTGAGTAGGATACTAGCAAACTGCGGCTATGGATGATTGTGATGCTGGGGAACAATAAAGCTTGACAAGTCGCACAGTTATCATCTCGGCACTTTGACCAGCAAGGGCTACTACTCCCATAAGATTAAAGCGACTTAACGCATTCAGTGGCTGTGAGAATTGGATACCGTGCACCGGCCCAGTTTGAAGATGCCAAGTACAAGCATTCGAGAGCGATTGTCAGATGACTCAAATGCGCTTCGGATCGAGCTAAAGACAGTAGTACCGCCAGCGCATTGAAAGATTTCATCAGATCGCTTAGTAGCATAAAGAATTAAAGATTATGAAGAAGGAAAGTTCACGAAAATTTTAGTTAAAAAGTTAGAGCGAATTGGAGAGGGTGCAGCAGCTTTGAAACAGGGGCAATTCGTCGCACACATTCACACGGCCATAAGAGTAGCGGTTGAGATCTCGGAATATAGATAGTCAACGAGGTCTGCAGAATCAGTGGCAGAGTTCAAGCCACCGAAGATTCCAGCCATTGACTGTTCGTTTGTGTGCAGCTGTGTCAGCACCAAGTGAAGCGGTAAATTTGGCAACCGTAACTTCTGGTGAGGAAAGGCAGCAGCAGTACGCCGAGACTTGGTACTGATGCTTCGCTACCGCGCCACGACTACCAGTCGCGAGGGCCTAAGGATACTGCGAGGGTAGCCCGGTTCCATACGCAGACTCGAACCCGTGACATCAGATTAAAAAAACAGGCTTGTGATCCTTAAATGCACGGGAAGGCGTAACATCTGATGAGGCAGAACCCAGTCTCATTTATGATGAATCAACTTTAACGATGGCAGTGAGTAGATGAATGACAACGCATGTCACAAGTTTAGGAACAGTAATGGCAAGGCTAGTGCATTAATGATGGCCCTTTGACGTTGGATGGTTCATTTAATAGATGGGAATGAAAGTTGATATCCGCAGTCAGGGGCCTTTCTACAGCGAACCAGATGGAGGCCGATAGAGACACTCGGCCAAAAATAGGCGGATTGTCCTTCAACGAGAATCGAAAGTTGTTTTCGGATCCAGATACCTCAATTCGCACCAATAAAACACTATCGAAGCGGGCCTTTCTATGATTGAAATGTAACGAGTCATCTTATCAGATGGCACAGGAGATGGTCACATGGTGGGCCACCGGAACCACGCCAAGCATTCAAACTGACGGAGCTCCGAATATATCAACATTTTCCAGTACTCGGAGACGCTCTCTGCAGTCTTTACACAATATTCTTACTCATAATGCAAGGTAGAGCAGGTCCAATCATCGAGTGATACTACAGGATGCAAAGGGACCTGATTGAGGCCAGTTACATGTAGCCTTACCATATTGAGTGAGAGCTGTGTCCGTTTTGCGGGCTGCAGTGAATGACAGGCCTGCGATAATGACCGGCCAAGGGTGAGATTTTGGAGTTGTGCAGTAATTGTCAGGGTCTGTTCAAGTACGGGAGTGTGATGGTAAGCCAGTAGGGCAACAGCACGCCCTCATAACGTCAAGAATAACCTCTGACTTTCGCTCTCTATGACAATCGAGCCTGGTGGATTATTCGTAAGCCCCTGACCTTAATAAATGGATTGAAAAGATGGTCATCAACCCCCTACGTTGCCATTGTGAAGCATTGTGAGACTAAGAGGTACAGATGGCCGGAAGACAAGCTGAAGACGCTCCTAATCGCGCACCAGCTAATTAAGGAGCTACATAACCGATTGTATCATGTTAAGTTTCGACCAAATTGCAAAAGACCATGGCCTTTTCCAGGTCCTATACATAGCAACTCATGTCTCCAGCGAGACCAGCGGATGCGACCTATGCGGAAGACGAATGAGATCGCGAGAAAACGGAGAAATTCACCTCAGTACGGTACGAAATAAATTCAAATGTAATAATAGCAACCTAGGTCAGTTACAGTCGCCTCTGGTGAATGGCAATGGTACAGTAACCTCTGATACAAACGCACTGTGGTCAATGTGCAATAAAGAAGCCCACACAGCCAAAGAGATGATATCTCGATGACCTACAGTAAAGAAAAAAAATTTGCATTTTGACATCTCAGGAAAACGCACGTGGCATCGAATAACAAAGGAGAAGGAAACCGGGTGCTAGACCCGATCCGGCCTTCGAAGGATAGCACCACTTAGAGCATACACCGTTGGAGTGCAGTATTAGTTGCAGATACGTTAACATACGCAGACAGCATGTCTAACTCAGATCTATCCTAATTAGTCGCTATCAAGATTATCAGTACCACTAGTTTGCAATGGTAATTAGGTTAACAGGGAGAATCATTTTGTGTAAATGACTCAGGAATGACTTGGGCGTATTACTTTGGTAAATCAAGAATTATTGTAATGTAACGAGAAACAACAGCACAAGTAGACCAACCTTTTCATTTTGCGAAAGTATGACAGCTAGAATGGAAAGTGGACAAAAATTTGAGAGATGTATGAGATGTTTATGGAAGCCCGCTGCTACTGTGACACGAATCGTTCATTGAGGTTAACCAAATCCGAATGCGGCATAGGTAGAAAGCTAGATGGTAAATTCGTTAAATATGCATAAAAAATATACGTCTGGAGAGTGAAAATGTGATGCAGTAAATGAGGAGTAACATCCAATCGACAAACATTAAAAGGAAAGAATACATGGTCGCATGTACATAGACGAATGTACGCATAGGCAAATACTAAACCAGAGTAAACACTAAGACTACCTAAGGCGGCTATACGCTGCAGTGCAATTATATGCGAGAAGGTCTGTGCCGGTGAATAATGTCTGCAGCAAATTTACTAGGTTAGGCAAATCTTTAAAAAAGCAATTATCTGGCTGAGTCATGCCGAAAGGATAGTGTGTTCCGCTATGAATTAGTAGATGAACTAGTGGTGGTGGTGGTGCAAGTAATATGCGAAAACATCAGAACGAGGAGTGTGAGTAAAGTGCTCAAACCCAACAGCTATGCTCAGGCAAACTAGTTTGCACATTGGCAGAGTCATTAAAAAGATGAAAGAAAGTCACACATCTTTAAGAATAAACGAAAAAGGAGCGCTGGTTACCAAATTGTTTGCCGACATAAAGCCCAAAAAGGCTGGACATGATGTGAAATACGCCAAGCAAGCTAAACCTGGTTTCCATCTTGAAGGACTCATGTGAGTACACACGCAATCAGCAAACAGCGTGCTGGTGACAAATTTGCGAACAAGAAAAAGAGTACTAGCAAGAAAGCAGAAAGTACCAATGATGGATTCGAGATCCCAGTGGAACACCAATGCAGCTGCTCCACAGTGCAGTTTCTCTGCGCTTGTGCGTGGAGATCGCGCCGAAGGCAGTGCGGTACCCACCGCTTGCAGCTGTACAGAGGTGAGTTCAAATCTGCGATCGGAAAAGGTGCCGTGTAACCGTGATGAACGTCGTAATCGAGGTGGAGCGGAGAAGACAAGGGACGCAGCTGAGGCGGAATAGTTGGCGCTGCCAAAAAAAGTGCAAGTCGCAATTCCGTCCGTTGCGACAGGCGCCGCGTGATCTGACATCGGGGGGACGCATCGTATGAACGATGGTGGGGGCGTGCGTAATTCGACGACGAAGTGTGCTTGTTCAAAAAGCTCTTTAGCAGTCTGATCCGTTTCATAGCTACACAAAAACAGGTGGGAAAGAAGGTGACATGAGCGGAAGACTACTGAAGTGACAATACTGCGGGGTAGTAAGACCGCAAGAGGCATATGTGTGAAAGTTTACGATGTACTCGAAAAGTCGTACAGCGATGAAGCCAAGAACCGACATCCAGGTACGCGACTATAAATGATCAAAAAGAGAAACAAATGATTATGTCTCTCCAGACGTCTTTTCTAGCCGTACCGTGAGTGGTAATTCGTGCGTAAAGTGAACGTAAGAAATATGGATAGTACGGCGACATAAGTTAACCTCATAATGGCTAGCAAAGAGAGAGGTGAATGGCATCTATTGAATCTCATCCCATCGCATACAGCCGCAGAACCACACCAGTAGCTGCGTTCTGCGACTTCAAGAGTGCAATCGACTCAGTCGGTCGGTCCACTCTGTTATAGATAATTGTGCGAAAAGCCGTTCCCATGAAATATGTGAAACAGATAGTCGTCCATATGACCGGAAAAGCACCAGACTGCAGTTTCAGCCAATTGGGAATCATCAGTGGTGTGCATCCATCGGATCCATCAGGATTCGTACCCATGACTACCAGCGGCTTGCACTGCGAGTCATCAGCTTATGCCACTGGGCCACGAGGGACAGGTTCGGACCGTCATGCTTTACAAACGAACTGTGATTTAGCGCGTCTTATCCTCAACACTGCCATGCAAGCTACGAACGTTGCAGAGGACAGGGTTGGCCCCGAAAGACACGGCGTCCACTAACAGTAGCTATGTACGACACAGCGTCCAGAAACTGTTAGAGCGGATATATTTTGATGTACACAAGAGTAGGGGGTTTCGATATAGATAATTTAGGTTCATCACAGCCAGCTTCTAAACCAGCTTCTAAACAGGCTGAAACTCCAGTCTATTACTTTTCCGGGAATGTGGACGACTACCTGGTTTGGAAGCTGGCTGTGATGAACCTCAATTATCAATAACAAAATCCCCTACTCATGTGTACATCAAAATACGTGAACATTGTACGTATTCTGTACTAGAACAACACACGACGCGTCAGGGTACACAGTGATTTGTCGGATGTCTTGCTGACAACATGTGGCGTTCGTCAAGGTTGCGCAATTTCCCTATTTTTGTTCAATTTCGTCGTGCACTCCAACATAAAGTGCCCCTTGCGGAGCCGCACGATGCAGGCGTTGATGTGCTACGCCAGAGAAAACTATTTGACCTGAATTATGCGGACGATATCATCATTCTTTTTAGAGATGTCGGGGTGGCCTAATCAACGTTAAATAACTTATCTGAAGAGGTCCCATCATTTGGCATGCGCTTCGCACCTTGAAAGCGCAAAGTGCTGTTACGAAACCACCAGCCACTTGATGAACCCTTGACCCTAGATGGCGATGAATTCGAGGTAGTTGATCAATAGACTGATCTTGGTAGCTGTTATGGCAAAGACGGGCGCACTAGCACCGAAGTCAGTTAACGCATTGCAAAAGCAAATTCAGTTAAATTCAACTGAGCAACTATGATCCGAGCATCGGTGGGCGGTGGATCCAGTATCCCCGACTCCCGCCGCAAAAAATAACAATCAGTAACAAGGACAAGAAAGGGGGTTGAAAGAAAACACCACGTAACGAAAACGGACAGAGAATCAAGAACAAGATAGAAGAAACCGACTGCAGGAACGCCAATTGCGAACGTGTCATGACTGATAGGGCCAATGAAGATTAGTGTGGACCGTCTCGAGGTCCGATTCACTGACGAAGTCTTCCAGTCAATTT